TAGGGGTGAGTGAGGTGGGGGGGCCTGGAGATAGAATTTAAATTTTGAAGAGGGAGGGTTGAGTGCTTTGTTTTTTCGAAGCGGGGCGGGGGGGGGGGGGGGGGGGGGCCTTCCAAAAATTTTGATTTTTCCACCCCCCCCCCCCCCTAAACACACACACCTCTACACCTCTACATAAATAATGACCGGTCCCTTATCATTTGTAAGTTAAAAAGGAATCAACAGGTCACAACTTTTTAAATTTGTTACGTAAAGCCTAAAAGAGAATACATGGCATCGCAGGAAAAATAAAAACAATGGAATTGAAAGTTGTCATTCGCAAAACTCTCATGTGGTGGTAATATCTTTCGGTACCTTGCGCAGAGTGTGGCACTAAAAACTGTATCGATTACCAGCATATCATTAATTATTGTAAAAAAAAGCAACAACCAAAGAAAACAAACCCTGAAACACCCTGAAACAAGAATAAGAGATTAGCACTAAGCACGTAACAGAAATCATAGTAAACCCAAAGAACAGAGAACTGTTACAGGGCTTGTCATGTTTATGACGTATTTTCAAAAACCACCACACTTCATCAACTAAACAGCAGCAAAAAAGAGGATTAAAAAAGATTAAAACGCTCCTTGTCTTAGAATCAAACCACGTTGAGTAAGTAAGTTTCCTGCAGGAAGGTACATGGATAAAAATAAAGGATTAATAAAAAATAAATAAATAAACAATGCAAAAATGGACAAGTTCGGGCTTGTATACGACTGCAATCAAAGTGTTTATGAATGAACATCATCAAGTGGGGAAGACCGAAGGTACGCTTAAAATTTTGGCGCGCTTAAAAGATCAAGCTGAGGAAAGGGATCGAGTACCGTTAGGCGCACAAAGCTCAAGCAAGTGCTAGTATAACTATGAAAACTTTTGGCTTTAGTAGAAATTTATAACGTTTATTTTAAAATGTTCATCTCTTGACCCTGTTCAGAACCCTACACCCAGGCTCAAATAAGAGAATAACTTGAGGTTGCAAAAAATTGCCATAAAAGGAAAAAACAAAACAAGCAAAAACAAAGAAACAATAACTGACAGGAATATAAGATTGAGTTAAAAATATCTGCTATTTAACTGACGAGCACGTAGCACTGATTTCAGTACCACAGTGTTCTGGTTCAGCTCTCACCATGGCGCAGTATTTCGCTGTTTTCATGATTCTCTGTATCTCTGATGTTTCACTGGGAACAACCACCTCACCTCAGCAACAAAACACCGCAAAGTCAAAAGATTTATGCGAGGTAAGAAATGCATGAAGATAAAAAGGAGTAAGCCTGTGAATTAGGTACTCCCAAAGACCATTTTACTACCGTAAAGTTCCGAAAGTGATATAATGGGCACATGGGCACTTCAAAAAATTTAATCGCAAAAAAAGTGAAAGGAAACAAGGCCAATAATTTAACCACCATATCAGAAATGACCAAATATTTTTTACCCAAACGCGAACTTTCGAGTACTAGAATCTCGCGTTCTATTTAGAACTTCAAAAGTGGCGCTCTTACGACCTGACCACACGGACGTAAACACATGCGCAGAATATTCACACTGGCGCGAGTGACTTCCGGTCAGAGTCGGTGACCTCAAAAACGTCGCGCGCGCGCGCGCGCTCTGATTGGCCGAGTGGCGTGTTTCTCTGAGAGTGTGTAAACATGGTTATGACGTTAAGATATTTTGCTTTTCGCGCACACTTATTACGCAGGCACGAATTGAAGAAAAGTTTTCGAGTTGAAAACTCGACAAGTTTACTTTATTTACCTATTCCTTCGTCGGCTGAAACTAGAAAAATCTTTACAAAGACTTTTTGTTTAAGACTTCGCGACTGGTAAGAACTTATCTTTTAATCAGTGCGATAATAAAGAGTTTTGAGTTTTTTGGGGGAAAGTTAATTTATAAAAGTAATAGAAAACTTTTTCCTGTATTTACATAGCCAAATATAATCACTCAGGGGTTGGGGGAATTCCCGACAGCTATGCAAACCCTCGACTTTGTCTCACGTCTGTCTCGAATACTCCCAACCCCTCTCTGGCTATTCAAACACGGGAAACGTTTTCTATTGCTTATATGTTTCAATTTCCATTCACCACTTGCACATCTACCATAATGCACCTTATTCCCCACCCTTGCCCAGTTTTGCATAACCTTTTCCCTGGGTATTACAGCCGTTCCACGAGAAACTGAAAAACAATGCTGATGTAAAAATTTGGGGGATGGGGGGGGGGGGGGGGGGGGGAAAAAAGGGGGGGGAAAAAAAAAGGGTAAGATAAAAATTGGGGGGAGGGGGGGGGGGGGTTGGGGGCAAATAAGGTGGGAGATGTGCAAGTGGCGAATAAACACCGTCACTGGGGCTTTTCCCTTATGAACTTGAGGTACCTCCCCTCCTATTCTCTAAGGGAAAAGCCCTAAGGACGAAGTTAAATTTCCATAGCACTTGTTGAATAAGGGAGACTTTGTCTCTCTCTCTAATACGTCCATTCAAGGCTAGACCAAAACACTAACTGGAAGGATCATGGTATTCAAGGTCTATTGTGCCTCTCAAACAAGGGAGGCTGCAATAATCTTTGTCGTTTCGTGGTCTTTCTATTTTAATGTTAATGGGGCAGGTTATTAACCAGTTTTTACCTGGTTTCCACATTAAAGTACAATCCATCTTTCCTTTCAGCGATCTATACTAGGTTTCCCTGGCATTCCAGGATCAAACGGCATGCCGGGAATGCCCGGTGTTCCGGGGCCGCAAGGACCTCAGGGAAGGGAAGGTGCAAAAGGACAAAACGGTGATAAAGGATCACAAGGAATGCCGGGTCCACGAGGAGACAGAGGGCGCGAAGGGGCTTTCGGAAAGAGTGGACTGCCAGGAATCAAGGGAATAAAAGGTGAACAGGGACTTGTGGGGATAAAAGGAGAGCGAGGCATTGTGGGAAATCAAGGAAGAAAAGGAAGCAAAGGAGAGAAAGGAGAAAGCGCCAAAGCAAGTCAAGCAAGTGCAGTACCACAAACCAACTGGAAACAATGTGTGTGGAAATCAGAAACCAACACTGATAACGGGAAGATCAAGGTAAGTGTGATAATCATTGTTAGTTGATGACCTAGACTTTCACCCAAGTAAACAGGGACTACCATGACCTACCATTCGTTTACTCTTGGTCACGTGACCATGGCAATTGGCAATGTATCTCGTGATATGTATAACTTAGCGGTTTTAGACCCCGCTCGGGATACAACAGCACGTGATCAAAGCAAGGTGGAAAGTGGCAAGACAGAAGGCATGAAAAAACCCTGCCAGTTTTTATTTTTTGTGAATTCTGAATAAAACAACACAAACACGGGGCCTCAAGCTAAAAAAATACGATTTAGAGACACATCAAGCCGGCTATTGGAAGAAAGTAATTTGTTAATCATTTCATAATTTAAGGGCATATCACCCCAAATTTGTTAAAAAATGGAATAAAAAATTATAGAAAACTTGTAATAAACGATGCCACAGATTGTTTTCAACTTTAGATAAATCTCATTTTTTTACAGCCATTTTTAAATATTTTTGCTCAACTTTTTAGGCTGTAGGCTGGGGGCAGTCTCTCATATTCCTTTGCAAAGCTTATACTCCACGCGAAAACCATGCACGCGAGCAGCGAGCTCCATGCCGCAAGCCGCGATAAGCAAGCGTAAGCCCAGGAAGAAACAATAATTCTAATCCGGCTCCGCCTCGGGAAACAAAACTAACTGTTTCTCTCGGGACCAGTAATTAAGTGTTTACTGTGGTCGCGGGCATAAATATATTTTGGGCCTGACTCAGACTCATTTCAGCCCAAGTCGCAAGGCGAGGGTTAAAATAGGACCCAGAAAAAGGGTCCCTCTCCAGAGAATAGAGGTGTCCCTTCAATAGAGGCATTAGATACATAAATTATGTAAGCATTTTTCCGGGACAAAATTTTGTGTCCCCTGAATGGAAGTGTCCCTTGATTAGAGGTGTCGGAAAGGAGAGATTCCACTGACCACTGTAGACGGCTTTTACAGTCTTTTTTAGGCTGTGCCATTGTTGGCCTGGTGGAAGTGATAGAGGCATTCATTTCTCCTGGAGACATTGTTCTTCTTAAAGAGTCTTTTTCACTTCCCGTGAGGCATTTGTGCATTGTTTATTTTGATTTTAACGGACGAGCTGCGATCTGTGGGGAGAAGAACATTATGCCGTCTCATAATGAGGAATGAACGTAGTCGTTAAATTTTTGCTAGTCAGTGCTCATTTTGGTCCCAAAAAGCGGCTGCGTTGGAATACTTGAGGATATTTTTTTGCAAATAAGACCTTTAGCGACAGGTTTTTCCTGACCACGAGACCAAGGTTTTTGCGGCCCCCTTTGCAGTTTGCAGCTCACGTTTGAACGGCAGGAAGGGCTTCCAGCGGTAAGTGGCTTACGGCAAGGTTTTTTGCGACTAAAAATTGTGCAGCCTCACTTTTAAAGGCACGAAGTAGCTTTCTTTATCCGTCTGCCATGTGTTAGTTGGAGTTTTGAATTCGAATAAAGAATTATTGCTGTTTTTATGCGTTTAAAGTGATGCACTTCGACTTGACGAAAACAACATGGCAACACTCAACAATGAACGCCTTGCTGATATTTGAAATCTCGGCAATGTGAAACTGCAACGCATAACTGTGAACTGCGGTTTGCGGTTTCCCATGAAGAACATGAGTTTAACTTTCGAAGAAATCTACTAGACCACTTATCAATCATTACACAGTTACTCGTCGCCTTAATTCAGCAGTATGTTCGATTTTATTCCAGGATTGTGCATTCAACAAACTGCAGTCTTCTTCAGCGCTCAAAGTCTCATTCCAGGGAAACACAAGAATCGAAAATCATGGCAAATGTAATAGGTGGTATTTCAAGTTCAACGGCAAAGAGTGCAGTGGACCAATGACAATAGAGGCTGCCTTGTACAGCTCCTGGCCATCTGGGAATATTGGTAATCAGCTGTACCATCGGTCATTTGAGGGGTACTGTGAGAACATCCCACAAGGCGCAGTTAGAGTAGAATTGTGGGTAGGGCGGTGCAATAGTGGTCACGCCCAGGGTGATTCTTACACTGGGTGGGGCTCAGTGTCCCGTATAATGATTGAAGAAGTATCTAGGCCCCAGTCCTAATAAGGGAGTCTCCAACTGCAATATTTCTTGGCGTTGTTTCACTTTCCTAAAAAGTGCATGTTAATAACTTTTGCGACACTGCTCCTTTAAGATTACTGAAATTGTGGTCAAGGTAAAGGTCGTCATATCATTTTTCATCATCTGCAAACTAAAACTGCTGTAGAGGTATTCAGTCTTTCTTATCGAAATATTTAGTGACTTTCATGATTAAAACCGGATTAGAATTTGCCGATTAAAATCGAGCTTTGTAAAATTTAGAACAGTCAGCTAAGAAGAAGATTATAATTATAGGATAAATTGATTTATTTCTCAAGCAACAAAGGAAACTTGACACTTGATTTCCCCTCGTAACAGAGAAACGTTTATCAAACCTTCCCATTCCTTAACATCTTTGTTATTTTTCTTTGCTTTCAGTGCAGTTTGTTGTAATGTATAGTTAGAGAATAATTACTTTAAAAGAAAAAATTTCAGTAAAAGACTGTCATACACATTCTTTCCAGTAGTAGTTTAGTGTCCAATACGCTATTTTATAGTTGTGTGCTCAGTGCCCTGGCCTTTGAATAGAAGCGAGGCTGGCGGTGACTTTGTTTTGTCACAAACCTTCTTGTTTTTCATATGTAAATGATCATGTTCACGGGCTTGTTATAGCATGAGAATACCACGATTTGCAAATGTAAAGCAAGAAGGTTTGTGACAAAACAAGGCCTACTCCGGGACCTAAAGCAAGGTCACCGCCATCCTCGCTTCTATTCAAACGCCAGGATCCTTAGCACACAACTGTAAAAAGCCATATTAAAAATTACCGCTGATTACACCATTAACGACACATTCATACAGGGTTAGCCTCGACATAAAGTAAAATATTATTTTACAAATTTCCGGCTAAATAAGTGTTTAGAATTTGAAAGTTGACAATTAACAGAGTAATAACAGATCTTCTTCTTCTTGGAATTTGTAAATATTTTCACATAAGGTACGGAAAAACGGGCAACAAAAAACGTGCAACTTGTTTTGCAACATTACTGTAAAACGAGTTGAAAAGCGATGTTACGCGTTTTACTAAATACATCAAACCTGTCTTGCAACAAATCAGGTTGTGAACAGGTTTAAACATGGGTGGTAAAATGCGTAACATCGCTATTCAACTCGTTTTGCAGCAATGTTGCAGAACAAGATGCACGTTTTTTGTTGCCCGTTTTTCCGTACCTTTAGGGTGGAGGCTAAGCCTGTAAATAATGCGTCTTCACTTCTTTTATCAGCGGTCATAGTAAATGAGAGAGAACGCTTCTCGGCAGATAATTCAGGAGAGATATCTTCGAAAAATGCTGTCGCAGTTAACGAAATTCCATCACAAGATATAGAAAACGAGTTGTATATGATGCAAAGTGGCAACGCCTGTTCTATAAGCCCGCAAATCTTTTACAAAATCGTAAGTGCGTGGTATCTGCCTTGGAGCCAGATCATTCACGCTTTTAACAATCACATAATATTCCTAGCCAGATCATGGGTTGAAAATATATAATCGTGCTTAAATGGCCAACATTTTCGCGAAGTTTCATCTTTTTCTGTAGGCCGCGAAGACCATATTGCGCAAACTTCCCAAGAAGGTGAATTTTAGTTGTCGCATACACGCCCCATTGTAAACTCGAATGCAATAATTCAGTTTTAACAAGGTAGTTTAGTTTATAATCTTCTCATACGTTGCCTGTCTTTTTTTCTAGTAGTGTTAGTCCACGTTCTTAGAGTTTGATTAAGATTTCTACTTTACATTTGAGAAATTCATGCTCCTTTTGTTTAGTGATGGAGGAGGTATTTTTTTTAAGAGAATCCGAATCTATATAAGATTGTTTCTGAAAAGAATCAAGTCTAAATCCTTTGAATCTGCCTTCAGCGTATTTTGATTGAATTAAATCTACATCCAGATACCTCGCTTCTGAAAACTTAGGTTACTTTGAGACACCACGACATTGCTGTTTTAAACTTCTAGTGATAATTTTGATCGGCATTAAGGTTACGGTAAGGTAAGGTAAAGGCGCACACGAGCCAAAGACCCACACGGCCGGAGCTTATCACGTTCCGGTTTCCGTAGCATGAAGCAAGCCTATGAGTATTGCTACTCTTCCCTGGACTGGAAGCTAGTCCATCGCAGGGTTACCTCCCAGCAGTATGTCGCCGGTACCCTTTTATGCACCTGGGTGAAGAGAGACGAAGTGGAGTAAAGTTTCTTGTAATATATCAAACATGAGATGCAGTGTTTCATCACCAGATGAAACACCGAGAAGAGAGTTGAAAATACGACGCGCAGCGGAGTATTTTTGACGAGCTTCGAGGTGTTTCATCTGGTGATGAAACACTGTGTCGAATGTTTGATATTTCTTCTCAAACAAAATCATTTTTGAAGGAGAAATTAAGGATGCAAATACTAAGCAGTGTTTCATCCGATTTCCAAACACTCATTA